ATCCCCTCTAAATCCCTCCAGCACCTCGACTTCCACCACCCGGAGAGAGCCGTGGAGCTGCTCCAAGGCTTCACAAACCCTCTCCCTTCGCAGAGCTGGAGCTTGCAGATAATAAATCCACAGCGGAGATCATAAACAAACTCACCAGAAAGGCAAAAAAAAGCCCCTTTTTGCATTTTAAAAGCAAAGGCAGCTTAAACATTTAAGCCAAGGAGGCTGTTTAAGCTTATTTTTAGGCTCCTGACCCCCATCCTTGGTTCTTCGTTTCAAAGCAAAGGCAGCAGCACCTGCTGCTCACAACCCCCAGAAGCCAGGAAAGGGGAAAAGTTTGGAGGATCACAGTAAAACCTGCTGGCACAGTCATCCATCGGTGTGGGAAGCAGTGCTGGGGGAATCCAAGGCAGAGCACCCTATAACCTCTGCTCCTCTGCTGCTGGGGGAAGGAGCATCCCCCAGGAAAAGCAAATCTGGAGGTAAAACCCCTACTGAAGGGCAGAGCTGGGATTTGGCAGGGGGTCTGCACCCCCCCAGAGCAGGATTTGACTCTCTGTAAGTAAACAGGAGCCGCATTTACAACCTGGAGCAATCAGCTCCGCGGTGTAAACCCGGCTCCCCCCCGCCACGCCAAGTCTGAAGAAGAAACAACAGAAGAGGGGTGGGAAAAGAGGAAAAGAGACCAAAATAAAGTTACCTTCTTCCAGTCGCCCACCTCCTTGGAAGGCACCTAGAGGCTCAGCTGGGCAGGGGTCTCTGGAGCAGTGTGGCCTTGCTAAGCGGGGCCTAAAGCACTGGCTGGCGGGGGTCGGGCGTGGATGCAGCCATGCAAACCCAAACGCAAAGTTCAGAGCACTGGCGAGTGAACGGAGGCTCGCGGTGGCTCAGGGAACTTTATCCCCTCCATCGCCAGGAGGCCTTGGCTGGGGGCCACCCTGGGGTTTAGAAAATTAAAAGCAACCAACCCCGTGCTCGGCTCTCCCTTTGATTCGGCAGAGCTTTTCGGGAGAGGAGGCAGCTTGAGCCAGCCCCCTTCTTCCACAGCGCTCCGCCGGCTCAGCTGGGGTTTAACTGCTCCCTCCACGCTGAAATTTAGGGGGAAACCCAGGGATAGAGATGCTGCTGCATGCCTGCCTCGGGATGAAAACGTCTCTCCTTCCTCCCAGGATAAAACAAAGGACCAGCTCCTGACGGGTGTAAATCAGCCGAGCCCAACCCTTCGCCCAAATCTTGCGGCTTTATTTGTTTTTTCCCCTCACCCAGTGCAGCTGGGAACTGGGAAGGAAAGTTTTGGTGGGTGAAGAGCTTGGGGACAAACATCCCTGGGGACAAGCATCCCTGGTTTGGGGACACCACCACCCTGGACATGGCTGGATCCTGCCCAGGGCTCACACAGGAAGTGCTGAAGGTGCAGAGTGATGGTCCCACAGCAGTGGGAAAGGGATGCAAAACATTTTAGGATAAGAACTGGGGGATGCTTTAGCCTAGGGGCGGGTGGGAGCAGCTGGGAGCAACAGGAAGCTTTACCACTGCTCTCATCCACCTGCCCCTTGGCCAACACACCCTTCCCACACAGTCCAGGAGACACCAGCTTAGGAAAAAATATATAATCTGGACAAATACACACACAGCCCACATGTGACAGCAAGCCAAGCAAAAGAAAACTAATTAGGGTCGAAGATTTAGCTTAATTTTTAGCCAAAACCTTGTGGCAACACTAAACAAAATGACCTGAGGGTTTGTTGTTTTCTTTTTCCTTTCCCTGGGATTGTTTTTAAATAAGAAACACTGCTGTTGGATCCCAAAGCTGCTTCCTGGGAAAGCTGAGAGACTGGGAAAACAGCTGGTAGGGAGGGAAGGGGCTGAAATTCAGAGTCACAGGGGGTTTTCCTCCCTCCTAGACAAAAATATGCCGGCAATATCCATCCTGATCTTCATAAAGTGACCATTACATAGACACACACCAGCCCTGGAAGGGCTTTGTAGCTACCAAAACACCTCGAGGCACTCTAATACCCTACAAAGAGTTGGTATTCCAACAAATAATGCAAAACTTCAGTTTTGCATTGTCAACTCAAAAATGGCTGTCGGGAAACCAGCCACAAGCCTGGGATGTGTGGTTGTCAGGAGATCAATGGCATCCCAAGGTGCTGCAGCTTGTGCTGGATAAGCATGGAGATGGGATGGTTTTCCTGCTTCTCACACCTCTCCCAGTCCTGTGCAGCAGTTGGAGGATGCAGAGCCCCTCCAACACTGCTGGCCCCTCACTGCAGGCCCCACATGATAAGATCTCCCCCAAATCATGGAATCACAGAATGGTTTGGGTTGGAAGGGATCTCAAAGCCCATCTTGTTCCACTCCCTGCCCTTCCACTAGACCAGGTTGCTCCAAGCCCCATCCAACCTTGCCTTGAACACTTCCAGGGATGAGGAAATCCCTTTTTCTTAGTCTCTGGAGAAATATCCTCTCTTTGTGTGCATTGGTGTCCTGAGCCTGTTTTATCTTGTAACACTGGGTGAGGAGCTGCAGCATTGAGATCCAGGTCGAACCCGACTGTGCTGGTGGGGATCTCTCCCTCAGGAAAAGGAATTTCACATGGAGAAACAGAGCTAAGGACAGCCTAAACACACCTGTGGCCAGAACACTCAGCTTTCCAGACCCAAACCTTGAGCTCATTACACAGGCAGAGCTCCAGCCATCGGGGACCCTTTCATTCCACAGAACAAAAATCCACAGGCTGCCAAGACAGACAGACCTCACACAATCCTGTGAATCAGCCTCACACCCAACAAAGCTGTGGAAACTGGTATTCACCTTTCTGGGGGGCAAAGGAGGGTCTCAGCCCCAGATATGCCCCATTAACACAACGGGGGTGGCACCTCCTGACGTGCTGCACGTGTGTCTCTGGTACAGCCAGGAAAACTCTGCAGGAATGAGCCATGCCTTAGATTAGATTATGGGAAAATTAGTCTTTGATGATGTTGTCATTAGCGATGGCTCTGTAATGTGTTTGCACAAGGGCAGGGAGGAAATTAAGCAGGCTAGTTAAGGATGAAATAGCTCCCGCTTCCCCACATTAGAACCTGGAAGGGTTTTAATTGAGGCAAAGGAAACTTCCAGGAGCATTTGGGAGCTGAGGACCAGGGTATGATCCTTCCCACAGGCATCAGTTTTATCCTCTGGATTCCTCCTGCTGCTGAGCCCCAGGGAAGCAGAGCCCAGCTCAGTGGCATGGGGTACAAGGGGGGCTGAGGCAAGTCCCAGCTGCACATGGTGACACCTCCAGATGAGACCAGCAGACCAAATTACTAGGAATTTGTACCTGGAACAGCTCAGAGTAGCATCACACACTCAATTCAAGCCATCTCTGGGATCCTGGGAAAAACCACCTTCTCCAGCACAGTTCTGCTTTGGGAGCACTGTGTCTCCACACATGAGGGGAAAGAGCCACCAATTCCTCCAGCACCACTGAAAGCATTTATGCACTCAGCCCTCCCAAGGAAGCAATCCACCCATCAGCATTTCCCTGGAGACATTGGCTTGACTGGCAGTGGAATGACTCCCCCTCCTCATTTCACCAGCTCAGGCTTTGCACCACTCAGAGCACCCTTTCCTTCTACTCCAACTCAGTGCCCCAAACCCCTGAATTATGACCTATTTGCCTTCTGTCTTCATCCTGATCTCCACAGCATCCTCATCCTGACATCCTCACCACAGTGGGAGGTTAAATCCATGAGCCAAGGTCATGTCCAGGACAATTCCTCCAGGTGGGACATCAACCCACGTCTTTGTTCCCCAAAGAGAAACTGAGGAAGGTCCGGGACACACAACTGGTGCTTCCAGGGAGGTGTGGGAGAACAGGATTTATTTTTGAACTCCATCCATGGCCCATGCACATGGCCAAAGGGATTCTTGGAGGCAGGCATTTTGGAGCAGATTTTGGCTGGATGCCTTGCAGGTGCCTGGGCTGCTCCCATACTAGGGGGGAAAAGAAAACCCACCAAAATCTTACGCCGCAGGGTCCCAGATGGTGTTTTATCCCCCAGCCCGTTCCCCTCAAGGATAATCTTGTTGTTTCAAGCCTGCACCAGCGTGAAAAGCTTGGAATGTGGTTTTTTATATGGAGTATGGGGCTGTCTTAGAGAAGGACCACCTGCTAGCCCAGCTCCGGCTCACGTTTCACTGGAGACATCCCGAAAACTGTGGGAACGTGCTATTCTCAGTGGTAATGGGGGAAGGAGATATGACAGGGTGCTCTGGTGAGGATCAGACTGAGCTTCCAGCTCCTGCCTGACCCAGACCACCAACCCCCTTGATGTCAGTCCTGAAATATCCATGGTGGGACCAACCTTGGGATGCTCAGCTGGCTCAGCAGCAGGCTTACTAGGAAGGGAGCTCAGCTCTAGTTGCACCAGCCAGAAACACACACTCCAGCGTGGGAAAGAGCAGCCTGTGTGATTCTGGGAAAAGCAGCCTTGGACCAAAACCCCTTTGTAGGCAGGTCTGACCCAGGTCACCCCAGAATGCTCCTGACTCTCCTTCAGGCACCCCAGCAGCCCCACTTCCCCTTCTGCAGCCCAACCCTGACTCCTGGGACAGGCCCAGCCCTCCCTGCACCACTGAGATCCCAACTTGGCTGCCTGATCCCAGCAGAGATCCAAAAACAACCCACGGGTGCAGGAGGAGCAGAATTAGGGCCAGCAAAACATGGGAGCAACAGTCAGAGCTTGTACCATCCTCAACACCCGCATCTCCTGGAGCCTCCAGCACACTCCTTTGAGGTGGATGTCCCAAGGAAAAGGGTTCAAGGAGCCATCAATGCACACCCTGCCTGCACACGTGTGTGTCACAGCGTTCAGCGTCACCCTGGATATTCTGGGCTGTTGTTGGAAGGCAGCCACCACTTTGCATCTAGTTACCTGGTTCCCCAGCAAACAAACTGGAGTTCAAAGTGTCTGTCTTGCCGTTGCACAGGGGCAGGAAAGCTCTCGGCAGCTCCCCACGGCACCGAAGGATGATTTTTCAGAGACGGGGATTTATTTTCCTTGTTTGCTGCCTTTGAAAGCTGCCTGCGGAGATGTGAGGCCAACACACACCCAGGGGCACCTCCAGGCATTTTCCCTGCCGGAGAGGAGAGCGGAATCAGAGCTGGCTTGGCCCAGAAACCTGCCCCAGGCTGCCAGGAAGGCTTCCTCCAGGGAAGAGACCTTCAGACTCCCTGCTCCAAGGAGGCTTTATCCCCAAATCCTACTCTGTCCCCATGGCGGGCAAAGCAGGGGAGCCTCACATCCCCCTGACCCTGCAGCGCTCCCGGCTGAAGGCTGAGGAGAAAACCCTGGATTTTGAGTTCGAGGTGGTGAGTGCCCAGTTTAACCGTCGGGGCTGCTACGCCCTGAGGCTCACGGTGGAGAACCCGCTGCTGCAGGGCTCCGGCGCCGGCATCCGGCTCCGTGTCAACAGCGGGAACGCCGCCCGGAGCAGCACCAGCACCACCGACACCGTCGAGCAGAGACACCTCAACCAGATCTACTCCTTCCAGAGGAGGAAGTTCACATTCACCCTGCCCAGAGGTAAGGGGGTTGGGCACCACGGGGATTGTCTGACAGGGGAGGTGACCCAGGAGCTCGGATCTGGAGCAAGCACAGCTCGTCTCAGGCTTGCAGGCCCCGTACCACACTCACACCTCCACCAAACCAGTGAGCTGGGGTCAAAGCTGTCTGAGTTTCATGGGATGGATGGGGCAGGTCCAGCTTGGGGCCAACACCCCTGCCCAAGATCTAGACATGTGCAGGCTGGATAACCCGTTTTCTAGTGCTCACAGAGCAGAGCTAAGCAGGGCTGCTGAGGAATGAGCCCAGGAGATGCTCCTGGGACCACCAGCATTCCTAAGGAAGACTTCACCCCCCACCCTGCAGGTTTCTGCAAGAATGACAAGAACCATGACGTGCGGCTCCACATCGAGGCCCTGCGCTACCCCGGGCGGGCAGAGAGCCTGAGGAGGGGCAGGCGGGTGGGGGAAGCCTTCTTTGCCATCTACCCCCGCCCTGACCAGCCCCGGCTGAAGCTCTCTGCCAGGAGGAACGAGGACTGGTACCGCTACAGCGCCGTGGTGGCCTTGCTGCGGGTGGGCAGCGAGCAGCCGGCGATGCACTGCGGCCGCCTGGCCTTCACCGCGTCCCTGCACGAGCACCGGCCACCCCCCACGCCGGCTGCACCCCCACCGCGCTCCCCCAGCTCCCAGGAGGACCAGCAGGCAGCAGGAGCAGCCCCAGCGTCCCCAGATCTGGGAATTTCCTGCCGCTCACTCAGCACACCGGAGTCCGCTTATCACTCGCTGCCCACGGAGGGCCATGCCCACTTCGCCGAGGTAGGAGAGCCCAGATTTGGGGGCTAGAGAGCAAACAGGTCTGTTTAGGACAGGATGTGGCCCTAGAGTAGCTGGATGGTCCCACATTGGCTTCAGCTGGAGAAAAAGGAGAAAGGCAGTGGTTTCCATGGCTTTGAAGGGCGGCTTTGGGACACAGCACAGACCTGCCTCAGTTTCCCCCTGAATTTCTCCACTGGCACAGGCTGCCCAGGGCAGTGGTGGAGTCACCATCCCCAGAAGCATTCAAAAAACATGTAGATGTGGCACTTAGGGACATGGTTTAGTGGTGAACACCACAGAGCTGGGTTACTCTCTGGTTGGACTTCACCTTAAGGGTCTTCTCCAACCTAAATGGCCCTATGATCCTCTTTGTCCAGAAAAGGAGCAAGCTGGGACAAGCTTAAAGTGCTGTCAGGGTCTTGGTGAGATCACAGCCACCTGAGCAAAGCCAGGAAAGAGGATTCTGTGCCTAAACCATGCTCAGAGCTGTAGGAAGAGATCCCTTATGGGGTATTCACCTGGTTCTTTCCACCACAGCATGGTCCAACCGTGCCCTACCATCTACAAGACCTACATCTTGCCCCTACAGCACTTGTAAGACCAGAATTTCCAGCCCACCTGCATCCCCCTTACCTTCTGGGTGGTCCAGGAAGACCCCCAGGAAGGATGAAGCACCTCAGCATCTCCCTGCCCTCCTCTACCTCACTCTTCTAAGCACTGGGAGCAGCCAGCCCCCTTCAGAGGCAGTGGGGAGCTGGGCAGTGCTCCCTATAAAGGATGGAGAGAGGGCTGGGCTGTTACAAAATTCATTAATAATTTAATTAATTAATTACGTATAGGTGTGTTCTTTTCTTTATTTTCCTGAGGCAACTGGGGCTGTGGAGGAGCAATCCCTAGGGGTACTTAGGGGGTGTCTCTAAGTCTAAAATAAGTGTTGTTGGGGTGGTTGTGGCTGTTTTAGTTGGGTGTTTTTTTCTTTGCTTCTTTGGTTTTTTTTTTTTTTGATTTCTATCAAAGGTTCTGCCCCTGAAGGATGAGGTTCTGAGCTTGACTGTTAGAGGAAGGAGCTGAGATACAGAGGGGTCGCCCTGGGACACTGACAGGAATGGGAAAGGGGTTTTGGATCTCAAAGCTGAGTCTTCAAAACCTTTTTCTTTCCCCTAGAGGCTGCAGGCTGACCCTGAGCTCAGCTCCTCCCCGGAGCTCCTGGGTGGCTCAGGTGAGCATCCTTCCTCCTCCTCCTCAGTGCCTGCTGTGCTGAGTTGCAGCAGCTTCCACCTCTCCTCACCAGGGCACAGCCCAGACCCAGCCTCCTCGCCAGCGCAGGTGAGTGCAGCCCATGGAGAAAACACCACCCTAAATTAATATAAAATGCTATTATTTATCGTGGCTTCCAGTGCTGGGGAGGAGATGGAGGGGTGGAAGGGAACATTGGAACCTCCATCCCGTCCTTGGGTACCAGCGCTGCTCCCACAACTCCACGAATGGGGGAATGAGACACCAAACTATGCATTTTTACTACCAAAACACATCCCTGCATGCTGGCTGGGCCCAGGCAGTGGATGGCATCACCTGAAAGGCCTTAAAATGCTGAGTGTGGGCATCTTGGCCTGCCATGTCTTAAATATTTCACCCTGCAGCTCAAATCTAGACTTAAGCAGCAGAAATCATTGGGCAGGGCTGCAACAGTCCAAGAGGCTGTGTTTTTCTTCCCTTAGTTGTGTTAAAAGCTGTCTAAATAAAGGAAAAAAAAAAAGACAACCCTTACCCCAGGGGCTCCATTTCCTGCATCTCGCTGGAAGAATAACACACCCGTTGATGTGTTGTCTGTGCTGCTCTCGGAGGTGTCTCACACACCTGCAAAAACAGCGTTCAAAGCTGGATTGCAGCGCTGGAGAGGGGACTGATCTCATGGACCTTCCCCAGGCATGCTCTGGGCTCTCTTCTCCCTCCAGGGAGTCCTGGTGGGAGAGTTTGGGATGGTAGGATGGGTGGCAAGGCCGCCTGCAGCCTCCTGGCCGTGGGCAAAAGCTGCTGGTTCAGGGATGGGCCGGCAGCCCTCCCTCAGCCCCCCAGCTCTGGGCTGCGGTGCTGAAGAGATGACAGAGGATACTGCACAGGATGGCTCGTGGCCAGGGTGCAGTCATGAGGATGTTCTTAATGCTGGACACGTTCTTTGGTCCTGGTGACTCCACTGGTGAGGTTGTAGGGCCAAATTTGGGTTGTCATCCCTCTGTCCTGCAGGGTGCCCTGCACAGAGGCTGCCTGCTGCATGCCATGGCTCTTTCTCTTGTGCTGGAACGTGGAGCTAGTGGCTCTGGGAGACTTGGAATGTGTATTTCAAGTGAGTTACAGGGTACTGGAGCTGAGCTGCTCTCCTTGCTCCACGTGCTGCGGGCAGGATGCTGAGCACCACAAACCCGTGGCACCCCAGAGCGACTCCGGGCCCTTCGCGGCACTTCATCTCCCAGCGCATCTGTTATTCCCGGCCTGATCCGCCAAAAAATTACTGGCCAGAGATGCTTATTAGCGAGGTCTGATTGAGTTTGCTCAGCAAAGGTCTAGACGGAAACTCTTTGGAGCTGCGGGAATCGATAGCAATCAGCTGGGATGTGGAGCGGGATGCGGAGCTGGGCCAGGGGCGTAAGGAGAGGCATTAGCAAATGCAATCTCGCTCCTGGGCCCCTGGAGGGAATGCAATAAATCACCTGCTGCTGATGTCACCCAGCAAGTATTTGCCAGGATGGATTTTATTTAAGAAGTAAAAGCTGAGAGGTGGGGGGAATGCTGGCTCCTGCCCTCCTGGGAGGCCTGGAGTGATGGACAATGTGTTGAAGGGTGGCTGAGCTGTCCTGGGTTATGGGGAAGAAACAGGTAGAGCTGGTTTTAAACCTCTAAAAATGCTCCTGGGACGCTGTAGCCCAGAGCAAGCTGGGAGGTACTTGTGGGTCTGGAGCTGTTTTGGCTCTTGGTGGTCCAATCCTGAGTGTCTCAAGGCACCATATGTTGACCCTGCAGTGCACAGTGAAAGCGAACCCTAAACTGAGGTTTGAGAGACCAAGTATCTGCCTAAATTCAGGCAGGATTTGAGTGATCTGATTGATTACTGACTTTGGGGAGTCAGTGATGCTGGGGCTGGAGAGGGGTAACGTCATAGGGGTGAGGGGTTTCATCTCAGGGCTGCAGCTCGGACTAGTGTCCTGAGAAATCAGGATGCTGGCTACCACATCCATCTGTTTTGTTTTCCTAAGGAGGGGGACCAGCTCCTTGACACACTGCCTCTGTGCCGAGCATCTCCTCTGCAGGATGCTGGGGCTGATGGATGTGTGCTGAGCTCCCCGCAAAAGGCCAAGGCACGGGGATAATGATATTTTCCTCATCTCCCTGCAACCTGTGGATAATGTATTCCCAGGCACGAAGTGGGAGGCTCTGCTGGCTGTTCAAATGACTGGTGTGTGTTGCAGAGCCAGACGGCTCCCTAATTTTGTCAGGACTTGGGCACAGCACCGAGCAGATCGATAACGTGCCATGGATCATCTCTCAGTTGCCTTCCTCACAGGGAAGGAGGAGAGGGAAATGGGCTCGCCAGGATCCTTGTGGATCTCGCAGCAGGGCTCAGCTAAGGGGAATCAGCCCCCAAGTCAGCAGAAGTCATAGGAGAGTTTGGGTTGGAAGGGACCTTTAAAGGTCACCTAGTCTTTTAAAGGTCTTTAAAACCCTTAAAAGTCAGTCCCTCCCTCCAGGAACCATTCCCATTTCACTTCCCCAGTGGTGCTGGGAGGAAGGAGCCAGCTTTTGGAGATCTCCTTGGCAGTTGAACTTGGTTGCAAGCCCACAGAGTGGTTTGTTTCCAGTCTCCAGTGTCAGCTGGCAGCGAGCACCCAGCCCAGACCCACAGTCTGGTGCTGTCAGGGAACAAGGAATCGCAGCCTCCCCGCAACAAACACATGGGTTTGCACGCAGCTTGTACTCCTCCTCTGGATCCTGGCTTACCAGGGTGCAGAGGGATCAAGGAGTGGGATGAGACCCAGCTGGGGCTCCCCGTGGGGAGCACAGCCCATCCATGCCATGCAAAGTCCGCTCAAACTTGGGAAGCTTCAACAGGTCTGAAGAATGGGACCAAACCTGCTCCTGACTCTGTGGACACTGTGTTTTATCCCTTTGGATTCTCCATGAAACTACTTGGACAGTTTCAACAGGTCTGAAAAATGGGACCAAACCAGCTCCTGGCTCCACTAATGTTGTGTTTTATCCTCCATGGAGCTACTCTGACATTTGAAGCTTCAATGGGTCTGAAAAATGGGGCCAAGCCTGCTCCTGGTTCTGCTCAGCCTGTGCTTTATCCTTTTGGATTCCCCATGGAGCTAAGCAGCTTCCCTGGCAAAGCCTGTGTGGCTGTAAAGTGACTTCATGCAAGTCATAGGGAGGAGGAAAAAAGGCTCCTCAGGAGTAAAAATCACCTTTACTTTTTAAGCAGGATATAGAAAGTAAAGAAGGGGCTCCTCAAACACCGAAGGAATTTGAGGCACAGGGTCCTGAGGGGTTCTGAGCCACAGCTGGAATAATTTCAGCCTCTTTTGTGTGGGATTCAGGATGGGGCTTCCTTTGTAGCTGTGCCAAGGGGTTGGGTTTGGGCTGAGATCTTGCATTTCTGTCCATCTGCAGTGGTAGGGGATGCAGGATGAGGATCTCGCTGTGGAATGATGATGCCCTTGCAACGTGCCCCGTCTTTCCGAGCGGTGGCGGTGGGTAAAAGCTTCTGTCTCCCGTCAGCAGAGCAGTGGGGTTGGGGCAGAGGTCGCTGTTCCCGGGTGATGGATGGCTCGGCTGATCCACCCCTCACCCCACCGACAGTGACAGGGAGGGGGGAACAGCTCTAGCCCTTCTCCCCCGCCTGCTGCCCTGACGACAGGGTGAGGGGCCGGAGCTGCCTCCACTCACTAAAAGCCCAATGAGGCTGAAAAACAAACTTTGCTGACAGGGCTCACCCCGGGACGCGGCTGAGATGAATAATGCCGCTCCGGCGAGCAATTTGTAGGGCTTTGAAGAGCTGTCAGCCCAGGGAGGAGTGTGCCTTGATGGGTTCATTGGGGGCTTCGCCTCTCAGCATTCCTTGATCATCTAGCTCCGTGCTGGAGGGAGCCAGGAGCCAAAGGGGACCTGAGGCAAACGGCTTTGGGGGACTGCTTCCATGGCTCTGATTTAAAGATGATGATTTAGAGTGAAAACACGTGTTGCTGGTGATGTATTGCAAGGAAATTATATTCCTGATCGCTACGTGGGGGACCTGCAGCTGCCCAGCTTGATCCAAAATTCCCTGCACGCTTCTCCCTGCCCAGGTGGAGATCTGCTGTGGAAATGGGCCAGCAATGAGTGGCAATTCACCTTTTCTTAGCTAAAATGGAGAAAAGAAAAATCTTCTCAGTTGGTGAAGATGGATCCTCAGGAGGTTTTCCAAGCTGCTTTGTGATTTGCTCCTCTGCAAAACACAAACTCTGGCTGCTCCGAGGAGACGAAAGCTGTTGGCTCTAATTCCTGCAATTTCAGTCATCATGTCCCTTTAAGTGTCAGATAACTGCCTTGATGAGGAAAGCAAATGGGGTTAAAAAGAGAAAATTACTCCTTTTTAAAAGGTGTGGGGGGAGGGAATTGCGCTGGTGCCACCAATAAATATAGAAAGTGTAAAACTGTCCTAATGGAGCAGCCGAGGCGGTGCTGGGCTGCCGGCCCATTTCATTATTTGACAGGTGAATTGGGAGTTTTCCACGTAAATGGAAGGAAAATGAATTTGGCAATTTTTAGCCCAAAGGGATTCCCAGCCAGCAGCTATGGAGCTCCCCAGGGAAATTGTCTTGGAGCTGACATCCGAGGGGGAAGAGCATCCTTCCTCCTGGCGCCCCGAAACAGCCCTGTGATCTCTAACGAGCTCCCGCAGGGTCCCCTCAAGGAAACAAGTTGCTTAAAAATTATAATAATAAGCAGAATATATCAAGCTCAGCCTGAATCCGAGGGAAAAAAATCTCCCTGTGGCTGACTGGGAAATGGGAGCAGAGCAGGAATGGGGGTTACTGGAGCAGCGGGAAAGGAGGAGGCTGCCAGGACGAAATGATGAATAAAACAGCATTTGCTTGTCTTCCTCTCACTTTTGTTTTGCTGGGGATCTACTAGGGAGCTTTAAAGTGTGGTTTTCCTTGGAAGGTGATTTGAACCTGCTGCGAAGGTGTTGGGAAATACCCCTTTGGAATACAATTGGGTTTGTTTCAAACCCGAGCTGGCGCTGCCAGAGGAGATGGAGTTTTCCAGCCATATGGATATTTGTCTTGTTT